GTCCTTACTTGTCATTTTTGGTATATCGATTCCTTTATGTTCATTCTCTTCTTTTATACTCCGGTCCGATCAAATTGGGTTCCGACCAACTCGGATTACCAATTCAGCTCGTTCCGAAGGTTTTACTTACCGTAGGTTAGTTTCGTTCGAGTTTCATGAGATTCGGGTAGGGAATGAGACTAGGTAGGTCAGGTATGAGGGTCGGTTGCATCAGATCCCGCTCGATCCGAAGAAACGAGCCATGATGGGGAGACAGAGGTCCGGAACGGACGGTCCGCACCTGGACCGGACGGTCCAGCTTCGTCTTCTTCCCCGACACCCTGCAAACCCTAGAACGGATGGTCCACTAGTGGTTCGTCCGGTCTAGTGCTCCGAAAAATCTCGGGTTTCATTTTTCGCACCAAATTCAACAAACTATAGCTCAAAACAACCTAGAGATCATCAGGAACTCAAATCTAAGATCAATTTCATGCAATTTGCATTCAATACACGCAAATCTCCATTTTCAATTTGATTATCATTTTCGGACATAATCCGAAAACACTCACTTAGCTCAAATTTGAGCTTGGGGTTTTGTTGGGGATGTTCTGTAGGGTTGATTTATGTGTTCCTTGTTTGATTTCGACTGAAATCGAAGCTTCAATCAAGGATTGAAGATTCGGAAATTTGAGAGAGTTTGTGGGGAGTGAGAGAGCGAAGTGAGAGGCAAAAAACCGTGAAATGGGTGGACTTAGGGCAATTCTCGCGTCCCAGAAGAAGCAGGAGGTGGCCAAAAGGTGGGAGAGGCGGCTGCATGGCGAAGCAGGAGGTGGCGGCGCGTGAGAATTCGATTCCGCGACCTCGGACCAGGCAGACCGGACGGTCTGCGCCTCCCAGACCGGACGGTCTGCTTCCCAGACCGAATGGTCTGACCAATTTTCCGCCTGTTTTTCTCGCTCGTTTCGGTCTAATCCTTCGAGTCAACTTGGTTAGGGTCTAATTCAATATTTTAGAAACATTTTTATGGCTCATATTTGATTTTTTAAAATTCGGTTTGAAAGTCGAATTTATGGGTTATTACACTCCCTCAGGTGTAACTGTACTTTTATATATACTGCCAATAATATCACCAAATTAGTTATGTATCGCAATAAAATGGTTAAATGCATTGAATAACAAAGTTTAATTTATATCTCTCAATATTAATGCTTTTTTAAATACATAATTAAATCAATGATACAATATTGACATCGCTACATAGATATTTTATCGATTCGATGTAACCGATTTTTATGGTTGTCTTCAATATTGGTATGACTTTTCTTCAATGTCTGCAAAAAATTCAGGTGTAAAGTAATAATAAAATTATTCATGTAAATATTATAAGAACAAATTTTTTCAAAAATGATATAATTTATTTACCTTAGACGGAAATTTATGATAATATTGAGTTTTTCATCTATATAAATCTTTGTAGACGTTGATGTTTTTAGCGATAAAACACCTAATACGTAAAATATATTAGTAAACATAATATGACCATGATAATGGTTTTTAAATATTAATCTATCAAATATTTAGAAATTAATTTGTGTTAAATAATTACCGTCGATAATCTTTGGATTTACACCCATAACGACTATGATACTTTTTCTGATATTCAATCTATATATTTGTGAACGGAGTTCTGCGACGAGATCATCCCATATAGAAAGCTTGACGATATTGTTGCTGGTTTTTATATAAAAAATTATATGTTAGTATGTATAAAATAATTAAGTTAAATTTTTTTAAAATGACATTACTTGCAATGTAAATAAATTTTAAAACTTACTTTTCCAATAATAAACGGAGAATAAGTTTTTGAGTTGACGACGTCATTCGTAAATTTGATCCTTGTATTGCGACTAAAACTCCAATAACATCTACAACATTAACAGATATATTAATTATAAAATCCAATAATTTTTTCTAGATTTTTGTTTTATATGAAACATAAAAAGAAAATGATGAGTTTTATATCTTTTGACATGAATAAACATATATTTTTTTAAAAAAATATATCATGGAAGTTGTACATTCAAATCTCATACATTTCCGTTGATTAAATAACTTAAACAATATTCTTCAAATGCAAACATGCATATAACATTTTGAGAATTTAAACACTTCAAAAATATTTGTTAAACAAACCATCAACTTTCCGATTAGCTAATCGTTTATGGCTTTCTCCTAATCTTATGGTCGCCGTCCACATCATTGGCAACTACCAAGTATATCATCTCTCAAATTTTAATTTTAATTAAAAATAAAACATTTTTCTTATTTTGATTACGTATATTCGAGTGCGGTCAGATATATATATATATATATATACAATATTTGCCATATTAATATATACATATATATATAGACATGTGGGTATATATTTTGATCAATTGACATGTGTGTTTTAAATTTAAGCGTATTTAAATCAACAAAAATTTAAGATATAAATGCACATATACATATATACACTTATTTATATACATATATACATATATATATTTATGTATGTATATATATACATGTACTGCGAACAAAAGATCATGACAAAATAGAAAAATTATGAAATCAAGGTTTATTTTTAGGTCTCTATAATATCCATTTTTTTATATTATCTATGATATCCATTTGTTTATAAAGAACTAACCTTTCGATAAGTTGATCCTAATCTTCTGAGATCGAAGAACACTTTCATTTGCATTAACCTACATCATATTTTCAAGGTGAAAATAGAAAATTGCATCTCACTTTATTAAAAAAGAAATACCCACAGGAGACATTATTCTTACGTTTTTGGTGATGAAGAGGACCATAAACGGAGCAAGAGCCAGACAGCCAATTGCTATTCTCCAAAAGGATGAACCAAGTTCTGAAACAGATGAAAACAAATTGCTTCTTTAGCTTTGGATTAGTTCAGTAGAAGACGGCCTTGGTGCCAATCCGTAAATAAAGGTAATAGAGTTTCAAAGTAATGTATTTCATATATATATATATATATATATATTCACATTGAAAGGAAAGAGATGTGTTTAAGCCCATAGGTAAAATCAGCCAATATATACCACCACGTACTGTAGTCAACACTTTCATTTGCATTAAC